CTTGCGCTGGGCAGAGATCTGTGGTGTGTGGGCGGGCATCAGAGAATGTCTTGTGGGTTTATCTTACTCCTAGCTTGCACAGCCCAAGATAAATCAGTCACTGGCTCATCAAGTTTAAGTTACCTCTTTCTCTGTCTCTCTCTGTCTCTTTGTGTCTCTCTCTCTCTCTTTCTCTCTCTCAATCACAATTACTGATATCCATAGTGACAGTCTGTTTTTTTCTCCTTTTATAGCACAGTATGAAACTAGCTAATTTTCCTGAACTCTTTAGAGTACAGAATGTTATGCTATAATATCATGGCATTTAAAGTTGCATATAAAGAAAGATCTAACCCATATTTTGCATGATTCTGTGCTACTCAGATTATTCTTTTTTAAGTTAAATAAACCCACTCTGGACTTAGGTTTGAGTCTGTTTTTACTCATTTTCAGTAATTCACCTGGGTACAGAAGCTGTAGCTATGATTTTTTTTTACTGCAGTCTTTGTTGATGATATTATATTCCTGTATATCATATGTTGGCTTAATATTACACATTGCTAAATGCTTTGCTCAACCATTTGCCCAACCATTTATTTGGTTCACAGAAACACTCTTGAGTCCCAGGGACTGCACATATTAAAGCAACCAGATTATAACCAGTAGTATGAAATTCTTTTCCATGCACATTTTAATATAGAATACATCATTCCAGGTGAAGTAAATTAGAAACCATAACAATTGGAGGAGAATTGCCTTTCATTTTGATTTGGGCTTCCCAGGAACATGTGGTGAATTAAAGATGACATCACCTAAAATATGAAACTTACAAATACTTTTTTACTATCAGCAAAACACAGATCTGACTCCTGGAGGCACTTTCCGCCTTTTTCTTTTCATATCACTGGTGATGGAGTGATGTTACCTTGGCCTCCAAGGTAGTTCTGATCTGCTAAATTTTAACTTTACCTCTTTCTCCTCCCAAGCTCTTGGTCCAGATTTGTATGTCAAGGATTAACCTTGTTGAGCCTCTTCACTTGCCCCTTTTCTTGATGCTGCCTTACTGCGGTAGTTACTGGTGATTTGGGGGTCTGAGGTAGGAGAAAGTTGGTACAGTAGAAGTTAGACTAAAACTCTAAGACCATTGCTTAGAGGTTGATTTGGGGGAAAGGGAAGAGTTACTCTGTGTGTTTTTAAAAGGCTACATTAACATTGTCATCTATGATGTCATGTTTATATTTAGGTTTAAACATTTCACATTTTAAGGGGAAGTTGGCCTGGGGACAATTCAGTTAAAGTAATATTTAAATGTTCTACATATAGCTAATGTCTTCTTAAAAATCATTAATTATGTTTTTGAAATCTCAGAAATGTTTTTCAATTACTGACTTATCAAATTTGCATTTTGTTAAGCAATACGAGGATTCTCTCCACCACATAGAATCTGCAGTTTTGAAGAGGCAAAGGGTTTGGATAGAATCAATGAGAGAATGCCACCCCGGAAAGATGCTGTACAGCCAGATGGTTTCAATTCTCTGAACACCGCACATGCCACTGAGAACCACGGGACTGGCAACCATAGTGCCCAGTGACCCACAGCTTCCCAGGGACTCTCACATCTCGGGCCTCAAATGGACAGACTACCCGAGGAACTGGAGGGGTCAGCCATGCTGACTGTAAATGTCACAGTCCCTCTGGAGAAACCATTGTGCTTTTGAGACCCCAGCCCCCTTCGTGGATAGAGGCTTGTGGGCCCTGGGATATATTGTGCTATCTGATAAGACTGGGTCATCGCTGCCAAGGTGGAGAGCAGTAAGCAAGGGGCTTGGGGCAATTTCCAGTGGAGGGCCACTGCACCTCCATTTATGCTTGTGGTTCACACATTTAAGTTTACAATTGAGGTTTCTTTTTCCTTCTGTAGAATTAGATTTTTGTTTTCAACCATGACTTCAAATGCAATCCTAAGAGCTAATGTGGACTTTTTCCCCATGAAATGTCTTTAAAGCGTGAATTAGCATGGTCTTAAAATACATTTCTAAGGTTACTAAACTGTATTTTGAATTATGGGCAAAATGCTGAGAAACCCAGTTGGCATTTATACAAAATGCTGACCTCAGGTCTATAGTTCTTAAATGTGGCTAATTCTGTAATATAGTCTCGGTATTTTTTAATTATGAATATATAACCTATTTCTAGGCACACTCTCTTACTTGAACACAAATTCAAAAACTAATTTAGAATCTTTTTTGCCCAGATCTTTTGTGATTTACACACCAGAAATTTAAGAAGAAAACCTCTAAATTACAAAATTATGAAGAATTACAGAATTACTCATTTAAGATACTTTAAAAGAAGTTTGTACATTGTCAAAGTAAATTTTAATTCAAATCATGTCTGTAAAACTTGACGTATTTTGTGTATGCATGTTTTCATTTTGCAAATATTTAATATATAGACCTATGATGTACAGGTACAACATGTATAGGTTACCTAGATGTTATGAGAAATTTTAGTTTATTGTGAGTACTCAAGTTGCTTAAATAGCCACCAGGGTGATTTGCTGCTGGCTTTTTGTTATTTTTATGTTTTGATGCAAAGGAAATTTTAAAATGTTCTGGAAGTGTTTCTGATTAAGCAATGCAACATAGAAGCAACAAATCCAATCATTCAGTTATTTGTGGAGGCATAAGAGTCAAGTCTGCATGTTGAACATTTTCTTTTGATAGTTACCGAACTGCTTGGTTAAATTAAATGGAACCATGTGCTAATATTTCACAATTACTGACCTGTATTGATTGCCACTGTAGTTTGGTATTTCCCTTTACTTTGGTGGCCTGCTTCCCTCATGCCCTGGAATACAACTCAGAGCTCCAGGCAGCGGAACCATCTATTGTTTTGTTTGCCAGAAAGTGCACCCTGTATGGTCTCCTGTCTAAGTTGGAAATATTATGCATGTGCAGGACTATTTGAGTATTTTATAAACAGTAGCACACAATAAATTCCATGCATGGGCCGCTGCTCCTATCTCTGTGTTGGGTTTTATTTGGATGTAGTCTGATTTGACCTTCTCATGCATACCAGAAAATCCTGTTAATGGAACTGTGATAGCCCTAACTGGTGTGGCTCAGTGGGTTGAGCACTGGCCTGTGAACCAAAAGGTCACCAGTTCAATTCCCAATCAGGCCACATGCCTGGGTTGTGGGCCTGGTCCCCCCATTGGGGGCTGCAAGAGGCAACTGATTGATGTTTCTTTCCCTCTTTCTCTCTCCCTTTTCCTCTCTGAAAATAAATAAAGTAAAAATAAAGAACTGGAATATATCTTTCAGATAAGATATCTCATGCATAGTTCACGATAATTTGATGAATTGAATTCTTCATGAATTTTTCTTTTTAAAAAACTTAGTTACACTTGTTTTACGTGAGCGATAGTAGCTGAGCACTAGAGGACTGGGTGCCTATTATACACAGGCCTTCTCAACCTAACAATTAAAATCACTGGTTCACTACAAAGTCTTACTGCCTAGAATTTTGTCATGGTAGTATTAGAAATTTATTGGGTGTTTTCTGTTTTTTGGGTTTTTTTTTTTTACTTTTTTTTAAATTTATTTATCTTTAGAGGGGAAGGGAAGGAGAGAGGGAGAGAAATATCAATGAATGGTTGCCTCTCATGTGTCCCCTGCCGGGAACTGGCCTGCAACCCCGGCATGTGCCCGACTGGGAATCGAACCACGATCCTTTGGTTCCCAGGCCCGTGCTCAATCCACTGAGCTACACCAGGCAGGGCGGGTGTTTTCTTTAACAGTAAGAAAAAAGGTATTAGTAATACCACATTTTTCTGCCATCATATTCCTCTGCTATAATCAAAATTAGCGTAGAACTTTGAAAATTGAGGCAAATTAGGATATTGCTCAACATTTTATAATAATAATATCATACAGCAACTTTACAGTTTTCAACAATAATTATAATGATACACATTTATAAAGCATTAATTTAAATCGAAATGTAGATACTTGCCTAATTCCAGATAGCAAACAAATCAAATTGTTGACTATTACAATTCTGCTTGCTGTAATATTAACTTGCATACCATCCCATGAAGGCATACCTGCCTTTAAAGATATTCACACTGCCCTGACTGGCGTGGCTCAGTGAGTTGGGTGTTGTGCTGCAAACCGGAAGGTTGCAAATGCCTGGGTTGTGGGCCAGGTCCCCATTTGGGGGCAACAGGCAACTGATTTATGTTTTCCTCCAACATCGATGTTTCTCTTCCTCTGTTTCTCCCTCCCTTCCCCTAAAAATAAATAAATCTTTCAATTTATTCACACTGCATACTTTAAAATTTTTTTGGTGTTACTGTTTTATGAAAATTGTGCGTCTCTGAATTAGGAGCTTAGGTCCATCATTAGGGTTATATAGTGTTTGTGGGAATACTGGGTAAATATAAAGCATAATTAGCAAACTAAGAAGAATTACTTGTTCATGATAAAAATTGAAAAGGAGAAACTAAGGGAAAGGAACAGAACACAGAAAAAGTGGTACACATGGAGAGTGGAAGAGTATCGCCCTGTGCCTCACAGACGACTTCCTACCTGTTTGAATAGAACCCTCTTCTAGTCTTTCTTCATAATTAGTTTCACAACAAACCACAGAATATTTTTTAAATTTAAAAAATATTTATATATATTTCATGGCGAATGCAAATTATCTCTACCAGAGTAAGTAGTGGTGATAGTAAAATGTAAATTACTATTCAATATCAATTATTTCTATATATCATCTCCTTTGATACTCAAACATGACACAAGTTAAAAAGACAATCTGACTTCTGGTACTTTCTGCAGTTCAGGCATTATTAACAACTAAAAACCTTTACATGTTCTTTCAATTACATACAAAATTGGCTTGAAACCCTTGTTGAAAATGAATCAATTCTTATTTTGTTCAGGATTTTTGCGTATTGGAACTGATTTTCTTTTCTCACAGCCGTTCTACATAATGTTGTATAATATTTTGTTGCATCCTTAACATTTTTCTTCCACCTTTCCTGTTTGTAGTTTATGCTCACTGCAGTTTAGGGTTCCTTTGGAATCCACTCTCTGCATCTTTTTGCCTGTAGATTTGATTTGTCACATTCCAGGTCCTCATGGCAAGTGGTCTGTTCCCCATTTTGATGTTCACAGGGGCAGGTAAGTGACATAGCTGGAGCCAGGTGTAAGCAGAAAAACTAGATCTTGCAGTCACATAGTACCTCTGCTCACAAGGTTCTGGAATTTTGCAGCTCTAAGTAGTAATGAGCTAGGAATGTGGAATTAAATTCCCTGGGTCAGCATTTATTACAGAAGGGAATATGGTGATGTTTGAGTTGATTCTTACTTTCTGTTCCTGGAAATAGTATGCGTTTTCATTATTAATATTTTGGTCTGCCTTACTTTAATTATTTTTTTAAATCCTCACCTGAGGACATATTTTATTGATTTTAGAGAGAGAGGAAAAGGGAGAGAGAAGGAGAAACATCCGTCAGTTGGCTCCTGTATGCACCCTGACTGGGGATCAAACCCCACAGCCTTTTGGTGTACGGGATGATGCTCCAGTTTAGTCACCTGGCCAGGGTAGGTCTTGCTTTAATATTCCATAAATATTTGTGGTTGTCCCCCTTTATCTGTGGTCTCGTTTTCCATGGTTTCAGTGAACTGTGAACCAATAATTTTAAATGGAAAATTCCAGGAATAAACAATTCATAAGTTTTAGATTGCACACAATTCTGAGTAGCACGATGAAAACTCATGTCGCCCCGCTCCATCCTGCTCAGGTCGTGACTCATCCTTTGTCTAGCATATCCACACTGTCTCTACTCCCATTAACCTTAATAACCTTCTCTTCTTGGTTATCAGATGAACTGTCAAGTACTTGTTCAAGTAACAAGTATTGCAGTACTTGTTCAAGTTACCCATATTTTTCTTAATAATGCTACATTCACATAACTTATATTATAATTGCTCTGTTTTATTAGTGATTGCTGTTAATCTCTTACTGTGCCTAATGTATACATTAAACTGTAATAGGGCTGTGTGTATAGGAAAAGACATAGCATTTATAGCGTTTGTCGTATCTGTGGTTTTAGGTATCTGCTGAGGCATCTTGGAACATATATACCCAGTGGGTAAGGAATTATTATATTCCTTTTTGAGATAAATAGGGGGAGTGCCCCCAGATTCTGACATTCACTCAGAAAATGCCTTGTTGTCTTTGCAGGGAAAGTGAATTTTACAGATTAATTCTGGATGTTTTCCCTACAATTGATTTCCTCTGTACCATCAAATAACCATTTCTATTTTTTTTTAATTAATTTTTTTATTGATTATGCCATTACAGTTGTTCTATTCCCCCCTTCATTCCCCTCCCTTTAGTTTATGACCATGTGTCTCAAATTCTTTACATTCTATATTTCCCATACTATTCTTGCCGTCCCCCCATCTATTTTCTATCTACTGTCTATGCTACTGATTTTCTGTACCTTCTCCCCCCTTCTCCTTCTCCCACTCCCCTGTTGCTAACCCTCCTTGAGATTTTCCTTTCTGTGTTTCCACTCCTGATCTAGCTGTCCTTTTAGTTTGCTTTTGTTTTAGGTGTGGTTGTTACTAACTGTGAGTTTGCTGTCCTTTCACTGTTCATATTTTTTCTCTTCTTTTTCTTAGGTAAGTCCCTTTAACATTTCATATAATAAGGGCTTGGTGATGATGAACTCCTTGAATTTGGTCTTACCTGAGAAGCACTTTATCTGTCCTTCCATTCTAAATGAAAGCTTTGCTGGATAGAGCAATCTTGGTTGTAGGTTTTTGGATTTCATGACTTGGAATACCTCTTTCCAGCCCCTTCTTGCCTGTAAGGTCTCTTTTGAGAAATCTGCTGACAGTCTGATGGGGACTCCTTTGTAGGTGACTGTCCCCTTATCTCTTGCTGCTTCTAGGATTCTCTCCTTCATTTTAATCTTGGCTAATGTAATGATGATGTGCCTTGGAGTGTTTCTTCTTGGGTCCAACTTCTTTGGGACTCTCTGAGCTTCCTGGATTTCCTGGAAGTCTATTTTCTTTGCCAGATTAGGGAAATTCTCCTTCATTATTTGTTCAAGTAAGTTTTCCACTGGTGGTTGTTCCTTTCCCCCTTCTGGTACCCCTATAATTCGGATGTTGGAGCGTTTAAAGATGTCCTGGAGGTTCCTAAGACTCTCCTCATTTTTTTGAATTCTTGCTTCTTCACTCTTTTCTGTTTGGCCATTATTTGCTTTCTTCTGGTCCACTCCATTGATTTGAGTCCCAGTTTCCTTTTCATCGCTATTGGTTTCCTGTGCAATTCCATTCATTTCAATTAGTTTTGCCTTCATATGTTTCTCTAATTTGTGGCTATAATCAACCAGTTCTGTGAGAATCCTGATCACCAGTGTTTTAAACTGTGCGTCTGAGAGTTTTGCTATTTCTTCATTGCTTAGATTTATAGGCTCTGGGGCTTTGAGATCTTCTTGAGCCATTTTTGGTCTGTTCGGGCCCGTTAAGTGTGAGGAGCGGAGCCTTGGACTCCCAGGTCTCTGCCATTTCTGTTTTTTTTCTTGGAAATTATATTTGTACTTAAGCCTCGAGTGGTCATTGCTGGGTTGTGTTTGAGAGATTGGGGCTTGGGGGAACTCACTGGGGTATCTGCTAACATTGCAGATACCCAGGAGTTCCTCTGTTCCTCTGGTCTAGTGCTGAGGCCTTTCCAACCAAATACTGACTTCTGAACTAATCCCAAGGAATTTATCTGATGCTGAGGACTAAGAGCAGAAATGCTGCCTTCTGCTCTGGCCAGGTACCTCAGTTGGTTAGAGTATTGTGTTCTTACACTAAGGTTACAGCTTCATTCCCTGGTCAGGGCACATACAAGAATCAATCCATGAATGTATAAGTAGGTGGAACAACAAATCTTTCTCTCTCCCCATCCACTTTCTCTCTCTAAAATTAATAATTAAAAAAACAAATAAAAAAGAAATGCTGCCATAGTGAGAGAAGTCCAGGAAGCAGTAAGCTTCATATTCAACCTGTCTGCCCTTTGGAAAGTTTGGGAGTGTTGACAGAATCCTAAGCCTTCTTGGCAGAAAAGGAAGGTCAGAAAGAGACAGGTCCATGGGCAGGGGGCCAAGACCTTCTTTCTTTGTTAGGGAGGATTAAGCACGTCTGGTTGGCAGGGCACACGTAATTACAGAGATCCAGCATTTCAGCAAAGAAAGGTGATATGAAGAGACAGCTGCAAGTCACTCACAACCTAGATCTGAGTAGATCAAACATTCACTTCACTTGGAAGAAACAGAGAAGAAAGGAAGCCGAGGGCTTAGCAGGGTAAGTGACTTTTTCATCAACCAGTTTGCTTGCTTAGTTTATAGTTGAGTAAGACATTTATCACTCCAGGGCGTGTTAATCACTACTTAAGCAGCTGAATGTGGTCCTAATAGCAATGCTCCTAATGTATTTCTCCTTTTCTCTTATTCTTTCTTAATCCCTTTTGAGGATCCCCAATGACTACTAGCTGGATTCCCCTTGTCTTCCCTACCTCTCTAAAGGCACTTTGTATTTGCTGGTGAATTAGAGAAAATTAGATGGTCCTTCCTGGTCTGAAGTTGATGATGTGGTTTAAGTGAAACTTAAGGCTTTTGATGGTAAGGAAGGAGAAAGATGGGAGACCTAGGACTAGGAATAAACTAATATTTTAGGGAGGTTGGTGATGAAGGATAGGAGTTTTTCTAGGCAATTCAGTTCATGTCTTCTCTCCTCTCCAGTCCTGGGTGTTTTCTCTCTATATACTAGGAATAAATTAGAGCCCAAGTCATTGGGGATGGCTAGAAAAAAGTTAAAATGATTCCCCTTTCTAGGTGGGTAGACTCTGAACTCTGGGAAATTCTGAAAGCTTGCTATGATTCTTCACAACTTCCTGGCCTTTCTTTTTTCACCTTTCTCTAAGTACCCACTCTTCCCCCAACCCCCACCCCCACATGCCTCATGAGGAGTCTAGGGCTAGGGTACACAGACTTAAAGGTGAGTTTGTAGATGCACGTGCCAAGACCTGGTTCCTTATTTCTACATTCTTACCTTCCTGCCAGAAGATTAATTCATTTGTATCATGAATCTGTTGTAAACACAGGAAACTTTAACCTCAAGGAGTTCACCAGCACCACCCCTCCCCAAGCTGTGTGATCCCTTGACTTCTGACTTCCAGCCAGTTCAGCCAAATCCCAGACAGCCAAGAGTTAATACTCCGTTGGAGAAAGACCTGTCCTTGGAAAGGCAGATAAGTGCCTTTCTGATCTTAACTGGCTTCCATTGTAGCATAAAGGCTTTTGGTTGAACATCAGGAATATATTTATCATTACTTCTGGGATTTAAGACTCTTGAGTGGTCTCAAATCAAAGATACTTTTCGTCCCTACCTATAAACAAAAGATGAGCCCTGTCTGGTGTGGTTCAGTGGATTGGGTGCCAACCTGACAACTGAAAGGTCGCTGGTTTGATTCCTGGTCAAGGCACATGCCTGGGTTGTGGGCCAGGTCCCCGGTTGGGGCCCCATGAGAGGCTACGTATCGATGTCTCTTGAACCTTGTTTCTCTCCCTCTCTTTCTCCCTTCCCCTCTCTCTAAAAGTAAATATAATCTTCAAAATTGTTTTTCAAAAGGATAAATTTTTTTTTAAAGATGCATTTATTCTTTCAAGGTTTGTCTTGCCTGAGTGGGCTGGGTAGATAGAGCAGATAAATGCTTCTAGAAATGCAGCGATGAAAATGTGAGGAGAAGGTACGGTGATTGAAAGTGGAGAGGGGTCAGGTCATTTGTTGGAAATGAGGTCCAAAGGGGTGAAAGCAGTACCATCCACCTTTAGTAAAGGGACATGACCCTTAAATCCTAAAATAACCTATTGTTAGATCTAGTTTCTTCTTTATTGGTGGGATTGCTTCTTCTTCTTCATATATGTTTTGCTATCTCTGTTCTGTAGACTCTGAACCCATTCGTTCATCCCTGGGATGAGGGGACTCATCATCTCATGGAATGAAAGGATGAGGAGAAAGAAAATACAAAGGAAAATATAAATTAGTTCCTTCATTAATGTGAGGACAGAGTTTTACAAGAACCATTTTGTGAGATAATAGATATTAGCTGGATGATTCTTGGAGGGTTTTTGTTTGTTCTGCTATCTATACCTCTGTTGAATGATGATTCTGGGGGGTGGGGGTTTGCTAACAAATCTTGTCCGGAAGGATTGACTGTCAGACCATTTTTGTAACAAAACATGATCCCTGATTTGAACTTTAATAGTTGGTTACCTCATTCAAACCAACCACTGTCAATGTCGTTATCCTCTCGAATTTCCCTGTCCCCAGAGGCAGTTAATCTGGGGGTTAATAATGTTTTAGCTTTTCAGTCTCTATGGATATCTTTTTAAAATAGATTTTATGTGAAATCCACATAAAATTAATCCTTTTAAACTGAGCAATTAAATAGTATTTAGTGCCTTCACATTGTTGTGTAACCACCTGTGACCTTTTATGTCTGGCTTCTTTTACTTAGCATGTTTTTGAGGTTCATCCATGTT